CTGATGCTGGAGGTCCGGTTCCGTCAAGTCACGAGAATGAGGCTAGATGAACTGAAGGGGAATTAGTTATGCCTGAACTTCCGACGATAAACTTTGCAAAGTTTGACAAAAAAATTAGTTATAAACCGAATATTTGCTATTTTTAAAGTCAGCCACTTCGCCCTATTTCCTTAAAGGACTGTACAGTTGAAAGGTATGGATGTAACTTTGTTAATTGCCATTTTATAAGTAGGTTTTATAGAATACCAGTAGATCACATATATGAGATGTAATTTTCCTGTTTCGATTAAGATAATGAAGGGCCGGTTGTTGATTTTTCCCGCAATTAAATGAGTAGGCCTTACGTTTCTAGTAAATTTCACGCAGCCTTACGTCTCGAAAGAGATTCCCATCCAGTTTCCACCTTGGCTTGCATCAGCACCCCCAGAGCAACTCGAGCCCGAGTAGATGTATTGCGGCGTATAATCTCAACGCGTTGAGCACTACGCTAGACTGACCCGAGTTCCTTTTGGTCAAATAACAAAAGTGAATTTCAAGGAAGCCTAGGCCTTCCCCATATCATATTTCTGTGGTGGGATTGTCGACGAAGTAAAGTTGTATTTGCTATTGCATTTGATTACGATTCTATGGATACGTCTCATAGTTAGTCTCGACAAGCCATTTATACAGGGAAAATTAATATTAATATTAATCTTGAATGCACAGAGTGTGAATACGTATTATAAAACGTTGGTCGTCCTGTGTCGCTTAAGGTGATTTAAGGGCTGATGGCACAGTGGAAGCCTGCCTCCTCGATGTTCATGAGCCGCTTTCGAATCATGTCGGTGGCCAAAACTATGCTCCAGCTAGGCTTAGTGAAGTTCCACCGCGCCACGAGACCTACTATTTCATTTTGATTCTAATGGACCGACTGAAGTTACTGAATATTCATTCATCTGCAGCATATTCACAGTAAGAATAAGGAATTTTGTTTTCGGCTGCAGAGGGTACAAGGAAAGTAGAGCAACCTTTTGGTTGCAGTTTTCACACCATGTGCAGGGTCTAATTTCATTCCCACTCCTTTCAGGTCAGTTTCCCATTGCATTCCTTGTTATACTTCATGGTTTCACCACTCTGAGCCTTTAATCAGGTTTTTTCTAACTAAATTTTATTATTTGTTTTCATCTTATCTCGGTTAAGGTGATGAAGGACTGACAGTTGATTTTTCACATAATGACGTTTTCATTGAATTTCACATATACGCGAAGAAAAGTTGGGTTTCAAGGAATCTCTTGTTTCATAATTGTTGAGCTTACTTCCATTTCGAGTGAAGGTGTTGGTTGAAGAAATTCGAAGGTCGGTTCCACT